GCAACCACATAGTTCTGATGGATTCTTACTTCTAGCAAAGGCATAAAATGGCATTGAATGACAGTCCTTGTTTTACTTTGATTGGCTTCCTTCTTCTTTTTCCCTTCTGCCCCAGACTGCAAGTCTTCAGGGGACAGCAGGGATCCTACTTTATTGGCACTCGTGTCGATGCCTTGGGAGGGAAGGAAGGAAACGATTTTGTTCTGGTAAGCAGCTGTGGGCAGATGATGAAGAATCCTTGTGTGGTATCCCCTCCTGGGTTTTCTTCTCGCTTTCAGCATTTGCCTGGCTTTGATGGAAAGACTTGTAAGGGAGCCGTTTGCTGGGCTTAGGCTTTTTGCTGGCTTTGCCAAGGAAGAATGAATGGGAGGAGCAAGTAGAATATCCTCCCTTTCTTAATACCCATGACAACACCCTGTGGATGTTTTCTTCATTTATTTCTTGTGCTTGTGATACAGAGCAAATATAATTTATGCCTTAATTTGTTGCATTCTTCACCCTACTCCTCAATGAAAAATGCTGCCAGAGTGACTATGTCCAAACAGTAAAAGACAGTCTGCTCACAGGTTTACAGTCTGAAAAAAAAACGACATCCAAAGAAAAAGCAGTGGAGACAAAAGAAGAAGACATTGTAAGGCTGGTGGAATGGCCTGATCTCTCTCCATTCATCTTTCCTGCTGGGATGGCTGCTGGTGGGAGGTCACTCCAGGGGATTGACCTTTCTGCAGAATTCATTGTAGTGACCCTACTAGACCTCTCCATCTATAATCCAGCAAAGAAATACTGGATTGCAGAAACTGTCATTGTACAGAAAACCACAACAAAAGGCTAAAAATGGAATTGAATATACTGGGAAAAAAGTATATAAAGTTTGGATTTCCACATTCAAAGTTGTTAGGGACAGTGGACCCTCACAAGAGTGAAAAACCATAAGTAATCAAAAATAGTATTTTACATGTGAAAACACCTCGAGGTTATCCAGCATGATCCTATGGGCAAGTTCCCACAAGAGCAATAGAGTCTTAGGGCCCTTCTACACAACCATATAACCCAGAATATCAAGGCAGAAAATCTCACAATGCCTTATGGTATTTAATGGGATTTAATGTATATTAGAGTAATACCTAAACATGAGAGAGGCTAAGAGAAGAAAGTATAGTATACTATATTGTATCAGTGAGGCAGATGTTTTCTAGACTTAATTTACGGTGTTGGACCTAACCAAGGGTTTAGAGCTTGGTTATCTGTGGTTTCGCTGCCTGCGGGGGGTTGAGAAGGTCGGGGTACAAATATCTGAAATAAATAAATAAATAAATAAATTTTGTTAAGTACCTGTATGGGTAGTAGACTCTGTTGGGATAGCTTTATGTATCTGCTACAGGTCTTTACATTTAATCTCTGTGTCAGAGGGGTCGCTAAAGACCATCAGAAAACACAGTATTTTATGTTGATCATGGGGGTTCTGTGTGGAAGGCATGGCCTATTATTGGTGGGGTTCAGAATGCTCATTGATTGTAGGTGAACTATAAATCCCAGCAACTACAACTCCCAAATGTCAAGGTCTTTTCCCCCCAAACTCCACCAGTGTTCACATTTGGCCTGAGTCTTTGTGCCAAGTCTTTGTGCCAAACAATCTATCATTGTTTGAATCCACAGTGCTTTCTGGATGTAGGTTAATTACAACTCCCAAACTCAAGGTCAATGCCCACCAAACCCTTCCAGTATTTTCTGTTTGTCATGGGAGTTCTGTGTGCCAATTCCATCATTGGTGGAGTTCATAATGCTCTTTGATTGTAGGTTTAACTATAAATCCCAGCAACTACAACTCCCAAATGACAAAATCAATCCCCCCTAATCCCACCAGTATTCAAATTTGGGTGCATTGGTTATTTGTGCCAAATTTGGTCCATTGAATGAAAATACATCCTGTATTGTCAAAGGCTTTCATGGCCGGAATCACTGGGTTGTTGTAGGTTTTTTCGGGCTATATGGCCATGTTCTAGAGGCATTCTCTCCTGACGTTTTGCCTGCATCTATGGCAAGCATCCTCAGAGGTAGTGAGGTCTGTTGGAACTAGGAAAAAGGGTTTTATATATCTGTGGAATGACCAGGGTGGGCAGACAAGAGTCCTTTGTCCCACCCTGGTCATTCCACAGATATATAAACCCTTTTTCCTAGTCCCAACAGACCTCACTACCTCTGAGGATGCTTGCCATAGATGCAGGCGAAACGTCAGGAGAGAATGCCTCTAGAACATGGCCATATAGCCCGAAAAAACCTACAACAACCCATATATCATTGGTCTTCATATATTTAAATTACGATTCATAACAGTAGCAACATTGCGGTTATGAAGTAGCAACAAAAATAATTTTATGGTTGGGGGTCACCACAACATGAGGAACTATATTAAGGGGTCATGGCATTAGGAGGGTTGAGAAACACTGCTCTGTATTCTTGTCCAAGGCATTGATTTTTAAAAGCATTAAACAATATAGGGTCCGAACAGAGCATTACAGCACTCCACTTGAACTCTCCTTCCAAGAGGATATTGAGCCATTAGTTAATCCTTTCTGAGTGTTTGCTTAATTGCCCTTTCAAAGCTGTTTTATTATTTCAATTATTGTTGTGCCAAAAAGGTGGGTTTTAAAAACATTATTCTCATTCAGTTTGCTACCTGAGGAATTATTTTGGAAGCAATTCTTTGTTATTGAGGATGTTGGTTGATGATCTTATTTCAGCTTTTCTCCAGAACTGGGACTAAGGGCAGTTTATAAATATTAACAATTACAAATTAAACAGTTAATAGTTGCATGCAAAAAGTTAATTTAAAAAGTAATAAAATTGTATACAAAATTAAAAACTATCAAGTGTACCCATTAAAGAAAAAAGCTAGGAAACAAACAAACCAAAGTCTTTTACAGTTTTTAAAATAAAAACCTACCCTTATGTAGGTTCACAAAGACTGAGGTCAGAGCTCTCTTTTCCCCGCTCATTCTTTCAAAACTATTGACATTGAAAATTCCTTCAGAGTACCTTACTGAGTATCACTTCACTTAGGTGATCCCTCGTTTTCCGAGGAGGATTGTCTTCCAGTGTCCTTGTGGGTCCGTATGTGGCTGTGGAGCCCTATTCTTGCTCTGCATCTTCTTCCGCAGTGAGGGCATTGGTTTCCAGGTGGGAGGCAGTCTCGGTCGGGGTTGGCTTGAAACGCCTTCCTCTTGGCATGCTTCTCCCTTTCACCCTACATTCATGCCTCTTCAAATTCTGCAGCACTGCTGGTCACAGCTGACCTCCAGCTTGAGCGGTCAAGGATCAGAGCTTCCCAGTTCTCAGTGTCTATGCCAGAGTTTTTAAGGTTGGCTTTGAGCCCATCTTTAAATCACTTTTCCTGTCCACCAACATTCCGTTTTCCGTTCTTGAGTTCAGAGTAGAGCAACTGCTTTGGGAGACGGTGGTATATATGGTACTGAGTATATATAAATAGCAAAACTGAGAGAAAGGGGAAGATCATATACCCAGCATACCCTGTGATGTAGGGACCTATGAGAGCTAGTGTGGTATAATGCTTTGGCTGCTGGACTAACTCTAGAGCAGGGCTTCTTAAAAATTTCCACTCGCGGCCCCTCTCTACCTGAATTTTTTTAATGAAATCTTGAGTATATAGGTATATATAAATAGATATAAAGATCAAACATTTACAATCTGCATTTGAAGGCTTGCTAAACAGGCCCCTTTTATGAAGTACAGCTGAAGTATCTTCTGCAGAGGCCACCGTTAACAGTGTACAACAGATTCATATAAACATCTAAAACCCAGCCACTAGATGATGTTCAGAAAGCATGTACTTTTGCCAATTTTTTCATGACTTTTTCATGACTTCAACAATGAGTTAAGGGGACCCCATATGGGATTGGGATCCACAGTTGAAGAAGCAGTGCTCTTGCAAATAAGGTTTGGCTGTGGAAACCCACTGGGGGACATTTGGCAAGTTACAATCTTTCAGCCTGGAGCAAGCAAAGGCAACCCTCCACCCTGAACAAATCTGGAAAAGTAAATCCCATGATTAGAGTTGCCATAAATCGGAAATGTCTTGAAAGCACAGAACAACAAGGAACCTATTCATATATATGTGTGTGTGTGTGTGTGTTTGTGTGTGTGTGTCAGGAGTGACTTGAGAAACTGCAAGTCGCTTCTGGTGTGAGAGAATTGGCCATCTGCAAGGACGTTGCCCAGGGGATGCCTGGATTTTTTACATGTTTTTACCATCCTTGTGGGAGGCTTCTCTCCTGTCCCTGCATCGAGCTGGAGCTGATAGAGGGAGCTCATCTGCACTCTCCCCGGCTGGGATTCGAACCGGCAACCTTCAGATTAGCAGGCCAACTTTCAAGTCACCAGTCCTGCTGGCACAAAGGTTGAACGCACTATGCCACCGGGGGCTCCTCATATTTAATCCACATTGGATTTGTTTCTAGCACCAAATTTTGTGTTAAAGATATAATGGCAAGGAACACATCTACCTTGTTGACTGATGTATATCTATAATCAGGAAGGAAGTGCTGGAATCTGGAAGCAGCCACCAAGAAGGCTCTTTTCCATAATTTTTGCTTGCAATGCTCAGTTTCCTTAATCTCCTTTAGGCAGAAAATATGGTGAACATATGCAAGTAATTCTAACTGATTTTATTTGAAAGTCAAGTGGCCTACAATGAAATGAATAATATAGAGAGGTATATGTGTTCTTCACATTATACATCCAGCATGCCCCTTGGTGCATACAGTGTTCACTCTTTCTCATCCAAAAACTCTTGGAAGAGCTCAGAGTGAGCTTCATGCCTTGTCTACTTCCTTCCACTTCACAAATTCCTTCAGCCAGAGAGACTGAGATTTGCTGGAATGGAAAGTGGGATTCTACTCTTTGCATCTTGAGAATTCAGCCTGCGTCATTCAACCTCTTAAAAAAAATACAGAAGATGGTTTATTTTTTTTTCAAGGTGTGGTAGATTTGGTCCTTGTCTTGTCACTCTGCTTCCTGCCCATTTGGTGCCTTGAGGATTTTAATCATTGCACTGTGCATATATCACTCATACCAAAAGTGGTCCTGCATTTCTTCAGTAGCAGCTGCATGAGGCAGAGCCTTCCAGCTTCTCTATCAGACAAGGAATTCCTTTCCTTTGCTTTGGAGCAAAGTTTTCCAGGTTCATCTTTAGGATTTTTAAAAAATATTAACCTTTTTGGATCCATGCTATGGAGAATGCAGACTCTGTTGCATTTTCTAACGGGCAGAATCACCAAAGTTCTTGGATACTTGTAAGGTCTGCATTGTACATAAATTATCAACGGAGATGTGAATAAATTTGGACTTTGCTTCAGGGAGATTTTATTATTCCATCAGCCAATAATGCGTGACATTCGTGAATTTAATGGCAGACCTTGAAGTGTATAAAAATTTAAGCCCAGAGAAAGGTAAGGATATTTTTTAAGAAACTGAAATGATATAAGTATATTTTATAATGATAATGCAGATTCTTAGAAGTATTTTGGATAAAGAAAATATTCACACACTTCAAACTCAATTGTTGTGGGTTAAGTTGCATTCTGTATTTAATGAATACGGTGTTACTATTTGTGTGCAATTGAACATGGGAAGCAGGCTGTAGATTATTGTCCATGTAATATAAATTTGTAAGGGCTGACTATTTCCCCCCTCCTCCAAACATATTATTTGATGTGGAGTTGGATCTCAGAATTTGAACATGTAAGGAAAGGTACTTCTGTTTGTACATGGAGAAATCTGTGATGTTGTATTTCTGCCTCCAGGATACAGCCTTCTGCATCTCTAGGAATCCTGAGTGGTCCTGGGGAGGGGGATGCAACCTGGTGAAAATTCATTGACATTTTCCACATCCAAGAGTAATCTCTTTTATGTTATAAGCCTGTTAATATATGTCTACTCAGAAGTTAATGTTATTGCATTCAGGGGAATTTACTTCCAGGTGTGTGTGTGTATGTTTGGGATTAAAGCAATGCTATGATCTAACCCATTTCAGAATAGCTCTCATATTCACAAACTTTGCTTTTTTGTTTACATTCAAGTTTGTATTGTCGCTTATGTCTTGTCTTGAATAAAGAACAACTGTTGGGTGTCAAGAGAGGACTGTGATGAATTAATCATCCAGGTATTTTGAAGGATTCTTTGTGCTTTGAGAGAAGCGGCTATTTTAGTTTTAAAGCAGACTACATTGAATTGCTGATATTGACAATAATTCATTTCATTTATTTTGTATGATGTTGTATATTAGTGCTCAGTGTGGTAAGATGAGGCACTGGTCCTTCATTATGTATAAAGACAAACAGTTAGTTCATGCAGTTCAAAAACATTTTTCCATTACAAGGCACCATGATCTGATACCTCATTTACTGTAATGGGGTTGGGAAACCAGCATTTCTATGGTGTTGGTGATACCTGTTGAAAATAAAACTTTTCAACTTTTCTGCCATTCTTTTGTATGCCTGTCCCCCCTCTTGTTATTATTTAAACCAAATTATATTCTGGATATAAAGGACAAGTATAAGAGTTCATATAATTCCCTTGTTTTGAGGGAATGGTTTATATTCTGACATATTTAAGCTCCTGGTCACTTGTGAGGAGATCACCTGGTCAGACATTTGGCATTTCATAAAATCAGAGAGTTTGAAGAGACCTCATGGGCCATCCAATCCAACTCCCTGCCAAGAAGCAGGAAAATCACATTCAAAGTACCCCTGATAGATGGCCATCCAGCCTCTGTTTAAAACCCTCCAAAGAGGGAGCCTCCACCACACTCCAGGGCAGAGAGTTCCACTGCTGAACAGTGCTTACCATTAGGAAGTTCTTCCCCATGTTCAAATGGAATCTCCTTTCCTGTGGTTTGAAGCCATTGTTCCATGTCCTGGTCTCCAGGGCGGCAGAAAACAAGCTTGCCCTATTATTTCAACAATAGCATGTGACTGTTAACCATTTACATGTAGACAGTACATCTAAATAGATGTTACAGAGAGTGCAGTGGTGTATAATGTGTTTTACATAGCAAGATTTATTGCAGGCAGCTTCTGTTACAGCAGTTGCATATCAGTGCTTAAGAACTGATGCCGGTTGGAGGTGAGTCAACCAGATAAAGTGGGCAGATATGTAATGATCCATAAAGAAGAGAAAATAGGGCATATATTTCCTCCCCTATGTTAGTTTATATATGTATAGTATGAATGTTTCATCCACAGACTCAATATCTTGAGTTTCATGTAGACATGCTCCAAAAATAACTCTCCCAAAATGTGTGTGGGCCTCTCAGGTCCTCCACTGCAAATCTGTGGTATGCTTCTGGCCCAAGTATAGTAAACATACAGCTTTGTTGTCTATTGTTTCAGGTACCCACAGGAGTTTTTGGCACACATCTCCTATGAATATGGAGGTCATATGAGATACACATTTTAAAATAATCACTACAGCTTAATACAAATAAATCTTATCATTGTTTGGAAAAATTATGAATGACTTACTTGATTGTGGAGACTAACTATTGATGGGCAACTCCAGTGCTCATATTGGCTGATCAGAGGACTTTTAAAACCTTGCTCAGCCAGGTATCCCTGACCAGTCAATATCTCATTGTGAAGATTTTGCTAGGTTCTTTGTAAGTAAAGTTGCTCAGATCCATTCTGAGTATTAATGCAGTCTCTGTGGATGTAACGGAGGCATCTGCTTGTCCTTGTTTAATGGATTTAAAAAAACTTATTCAGCCTAAGGACATGGACAAGATCTTGGGAGAATGAAGGCAACCACCTGTTCTCTGAACCTTTTCCCATCCTGGCAAATTAAATCCGCCATGGGATTGGTAGAGTGAGTAAAGGTGCTGGTGAATGCCTCCTTGACTCAAGTGTAATGCCACCTACTTTCAAGGAAGGCATTAGTAAGATACTATTAAAGAAACTGGCACTCGATCTTACTCAACTGTGTAATTATCAGTCAGTCAGTATCCTATCTTCCCTTTCTGGGCAAGGTCCTAGAGAAGTTGATGGTCTCTCAATTCCAAAGCTTCTTGGATGAAACTGATTATATGAATCCATTTCAATATGGTTTCAGGCCTGGCTATAGAACTGAGATGGCATTGGTCGCCTTGGTTGATGATCTATAAAAAGATCTAGATGGGGGAGTGTGTCCCTACTTGTTCTCCTGGATTTTTCAGCAGCATTTGATATAATCAATCATTGTATCCTTTTGAACTGTCTGTCTGGGATGGGGCTAGGGGGCACTGTTTTGTAGTGGCTTTGGGCCTTCCTAGTGTGTTGGACCCAGATGGAGGTGCTGGGGGACACCTGTTTGACTCCCTGGCCTGTGGCCCCTGAGGGGTCAGTTCTGTTCTCCATGCTGTTCAGCATTTACATGAAACCGCTGGGAGAGATCCTCTGAAGTTTTGAAGTTTGGTGTCAAATTTATGTTGATGAGGCCCAACTCTATTACTCCTTTCCACCTAAAGCCAAGGATGCTGTCCTGGCCCTAAACCGGTGCCTGTTATCAGTGATGGACTAGATGAAGGTTACCAAGTTGAAATTAAATCCAGAAAAGACAGAAGTACTCCTGGTCAGTTGGAAGGCAGATCAGGGTATAGGGTTACAACCTGTGCTGGATGGGATTATACCCCCCCCCCCTGAAGACACAGGTTCGTAGCTTGGGGGTGACCCTGGACTCATAGCTGACCCTGGAGGTCCAGGTATCGGCGGTGGCCAGGAGCGCCTTCGCACAATCAAAATTTGTGCACCAGCTGTGCCCGTACCTTGAGATGTCAGATATGGCCACGGTAGTTACATCCTGTCTGGACTACTGCAATGCTCTCTACATGGGGCTTTGAAAATAGTTCAGAAGCTTCAACTGGTTCAGAGATTGGACGCCAGAGTTCTACCTGGAGTGTCATACAAGAAGAGAACCACTTCCATGTTGCGGAAGCTCGACTGGCTGCCAGTCTGCTTCTGAGCTAAATACACAGTGCTAATTATTACCTATAAAGCCCTAAATAGTTTGGGCCCAAAATATTTGACTAACTGCATCTCTGCATATAACCCAGTCCAGGCACTGCAGTCTGCAGAGGAGGCCCTGCTCTCAATCCTTCTCCGTGATCACCCCCTGCCTCTGAAACTCCCTCTCTAAAGGAGTAAAAATGGCTCCTTCCCCTCTCTCCTTTAAAAACTGCTTCTTCAGCTTATGGAGAGGAGGATTAAAATACTATGTTTTACAAAACTTGACTAGAATACGGCACTTTACTCTGGCTTGTTGGCAGTGGATAAATGATAAAACAGTGGTTATTTTAACTGTTTTTGTTTTGGTTTTGAACTGATTAGTTTTGTTACTTTGTAGGTTTAATAGATTTATATGTTTTATTTAATTATTTACACTTTGTGAATAGTTATAATTTATTATAGATGTTTTATACATGTGGCCATTTGTTCATTTTGTATTGTTTTATGGTATTGAATAATTGCCATCCTTTTTGGAAGCCACTCTGATTCTCTTGAGTTTCCTCTGGAGACTCAAGAGATTCAGAGAGACCCAAAGAGAGTAATAGATAAGTCCAAAAATATTGTTCATATGTGTGGCTGAAAGTGTCATCTTCACTTTCTGTTGGGCAATGTATGGAAGCTTTGATTCATTCACAAAATTATTAAAATCACGGTGCATAACATTACTTTTAGGCTATGCATATAAGTTATATATGAAACGTGAATGAAGTTTGTGTTTGGATTTGAGTTCATCTCGTGAGATGAATAAGATATCTCATATACATATAAGAAAATATGGGCATTCCAAAATCCATAAAACTCCAAAATAAAAAACAACCTTCTGCTTCCATGCATTTCATAAGTGGGATACTCAACAGTGTTGTGGTTTTCTGCTTTGAGCATTGGCCTCTGGCTAGCCAAATTAAAAAGTGCTGTTGTGTTCCCAAAAGGTAAAGAATGAAAGAAGAAAAATGGTGAAGTTAAATTATTCTAGGAAACAATTTCCCATTTTAAAAGAAGGCATTAGAAAGTATTTTCATGAGTCACATACCCAGCACACCATTTAGAGGAGAGGAACATGTACAGAGGATTTAGTCTTTCTGAATTCCAGGAACTGTTGATATTTTTGGTATATAGAGCTTGGAGATTAATTCCATGTATATGCTGAAGCCAAAGGGACTAATAGATGAGACCATCTGTTTCATGTGTGGTGATTTATAAGGTAATGGAGATGTGAATAAGTGTTTAATAATTGACAAGGATTAGCTTTGTTATGGGCAGCTTTGCTAAAGTCCTTAAAGTAGCAGGGAGAGACAGAGAGAGTCCAATTTGAATCAGCCACAGGAATTCCTTTTTCTGTGACTTAAAAAAATGTCTCTCTTGTTAAGAATGTTTGGATGGAAATGTTTCATTTGATTTAAAGTTATTTTATT